CTCTCTGGCTGGGTGTAGCGGGTGGCTGGGCCCCCCGGGCCCTGACTGACCCCTGGCGCCCCGGCCTCTCGCTGCCCAACTGAGACTCTCCTTCCCCCGCAGCCTCCATCCTGGGCTCCTGCCTCCAGCCGGCGCCAGCCCAGACCCCGACCCCAGTGACCATCGTCCTCACCCCGCCGAGCCCCGTGGTGGGAGGGGGCATCAGCCTGGCCCCACAGCCACCGCCAGAGAACTTCCTGTCCTGCAGCTGGTACCGATCAGCGACCGTGACTGATCCAAACAGCCTGATCCTCAGTTACTTCCAATATCCCAACCCCGTTCAGACCCCCGGCCCGGCCCACACGGGGCGGGAGACATTGGGGCCGGGCTGCGCCCTGAACATGGCGGGGTTAATGCTCAGCGACACCGGGAACTACACGGTGCTGATACCTACCGCCACTAACCCTGTCCGCTCCATCACGGTGGCTCTGCGCGTCTCTGGTAAGTGCCAACCCCAGGACCCGCGCTGATCCCAGGCCGTGTCCACCCCCACCACCCCCGCCCCACTGGGCGTCTCCCCCGGGCATGAGCCTGGCTGGGACATGGGGGAACCCACCCCCAAACACAGACACCGTGGGGTAGCCTGGGACTCCCTGCCCCCTGCTTCTCCTGGGAGATGGTGCCCCCCAGAAATGTGGGGCTCGGGGTCCCCCCATCCTGCCATTACCCCCCGGCTCTGGCTCTCCCTGGCAGTGCCAGCAGTGTGGGATTGAGCCTGACTGGGCATAGGGGGAACCCTGGGCTTCCCAGCACCCACCAGAGCCTGCCGTTCCCACCAGTGCCCGTTCAGGGTCTGGGGTGACATGGATTTGCTGGGTCCCAGCTCAGTTCCTGGCCCCGGAGTGGGATCCAGCCCCTCACTGGCAGCCGCAGCAAAGGGGCCAAGGGCTGGGCCAGAGACCCTGAGATCCCCTGGGGTTTGGGGCACACACTGGTGAGGGGGGCTGTGTGTTGTGGGGGGGAGCTCTCCCTCATGCCGCCTGCATCGACCCTGCTCTAGGTACGGAGGAGTCAGGCTCCGGGAGCCCAGTCCCCCCAGGGTCTCTGGTGCCCCCAGCCTGTCCTGGTGTCTGCAGTGTCCCCTGCTGTCCCACCCCTCCAGCTCCCCCGGGTGTCCCTGGCACCCCCCATCCCAGCCTGGTATCCCAGTGCCCTCCCACCCCACTGCCTCCTGCCCACCACAGCCTCTCCGGGCCCCCCTAGTGTCTCCCCCCATCCCGGCATCTCTGCCTTGCCAGCCCGAGTGAGCATTAACCGGCCTGGGGAGAAGCGTCTCCATGGCAGAGCTGGGTCGTGCTGCCCCGGGGAGCTGGCACTGGTGGCTCTGCCCAGGGAAGGACGGGCTGCAGGCGGGGGCGTGGGGGTGGGGAGGGGGGACAGGCAGCACCATCCCAACCCCTGTTCATGGAGCTCTGGGATGTGGCCCCCGGCGCTGGGGGGAGGGAAACAGCTGGTGCTGGGGGGCACTAGAGGGGGGTTGCTCCAGGGATGGGAGCGGGATCCATGCTGGGTGTGGGGAGAGGGTGTCCCATGCTGTGGGGGTGAGAGTCCGGGTTGGGGAAGGGTGTCTGTGCTGGGGGTTCGGAGGCACATCTGTGCCAGGAAGTGCCAGGGCCCCTCTCCCTGCGTGTGATTGGTGCTGCTGTGACACCCGCTCTTGAGCGCTGGGGTGTTTGGGGGACAGATTCACCCCTTCTCCCTCTGGCTCCCTTGGGAGCTGGGCCTGTCCAGGACGCTCCCCCAGCCCCATCCGTGTGTCCTCACCTGGGGCCAGGATCGGGCCCCCGGGGCTCGAGATCTAGGTTCTGTATTCGGCTGGTGGTTCCCGCCCCAGACGCGCCCTGCATCCCCAGGTGTCTGTGGGCTGCTGTCCCCTCTCTCTAGCACACCCTGCTCCCCTGCCGCTGGTGTCCATCTTGCAGTGCGATCAGTGCAAAGATCTTCGCACACCCTAGTGCAAACCCCGCCCCCTGACACGCACCATGTGATTCCCAGGCTCAGTTCCTCTCCCTGTTTGCGGCAGGAGCACGCTCACTGGACCTGATCCTGGTCCCACTTGCCCCAGTCCAGCGCTGCTGCCCAGTCCCCAGTGGGAGTGCGGGCGGGATCGGGAGATTGATGGGGGCTGTGGGACAGGGATCTGGGGGGCAGGAGTCCGTTGCCCCCCCAGTGCCCCCATAGAGCCAGTGCCCGTCGCTGTTGGGACGCCAGGAGCTGTGGTCACCTTGTGCCTCAATTTCCAGGGGCGTGTGGGGCCTGTTTATGTTTACCCCCCCACACACCCACACGGTATCTGGGGGCAGAGGGACCCTGCTGCTGTGGATGACGGGGGACCCCTGTGAGCTCTGGGGGGTGTCTGCCAGGCCGCCCCGTCCCTGGCTAATCACCCTGGGGCCCGTTCCCAGCGGCTCCTTGCCCAGGGCAGTGGCCGCAGAAGGAAGATGTCTCTGCACAGTCGGCCCAGCTCCCTTCAGAGGGGGGCAGGGGGGTGAAGGCTCTTGCGTGTCCCTGTGCGGCTCCTGAGGTGGTGCGAGGGCGGCTGGACTCCTCGTGCCAGGTGCTGGAGGGGGGAGAGCGCTGCCCCCGCCCGCCCGCTGTCCCGCCCACCCCTTCTGCCCGCAGAGGAGCTGGTGCTGCCCGAGGTGGGGTGCGCAGCCCCTGCCCGGCGGAGTTCGCTGACACCGTAGCTCTCGCCTGCGTGGGGTTGGGGGGGGGGTCGTGACTGGACTCCCTGATACACCCCCCCCCTTTCTCCCTTTTTCTCCTCCCAAATCTCTTCCAGAGCCAACTTCACCCCCAGGCCTGCCACCCGGAGCCATCGCCGGGATCGTCATCGGGTCGCTGGCCGGGGCGGCGCTGCTCGGGGGCCTGCTCTACTTCCTGCTCCGCAAAACTGGAGGGGAACAGCTAGGCGGACCGGGGGCCCCTGGGGCTGGGGGCTGCCCCGAACCCTGGTGAGTAGGGGGGTTGGGAGCTGCCCCTCGGTGCTGGAGGGGGTCAGTCTCTCTGCCCCCCAGTCCCAGGTCTCTGCACCTCGGGGTCTCTGCTTGTCGCTGCCTCTATGGTGAAGGGTCCTTCCACGTCTCTGCCCCCCAGGATGGGATCTCGCCCCACACGCCTCTTGGAAACAGTGTCAGGTCTCCCAGGGAACAATCCCTGCCCAGGCTGGCACCCAGCGCCCTGAGCCACCCCAGAGCTACCCATCCCTACAGGGAGAGCCAGGGGCTGAGTCTGGGGCACATGGTGCATGTGGGGGGTGGATGGATAGAGGGGGGGATGGATGGCTGTGGGGTTTTGTAGGTGTGTGTGGGGATGGATGGCCCATGGAGAGGCGAGGGGAGGGGGAACAGGTCTGCAGATTTGGGGAAGCCGGCTGGTTGCTGTCCACCATCCCTGGTGTGGGGGACGGCCCAATCCCCCCCTACCTGCGGCTGTTTCCCCAGGGGGCCCAAGCAGCGCTCACCCATCGGAGGCCAGGGATTCTCTTCCCCTGGGCTGGGTCCCGGATCCGCCGTCACTGCTCTGGCCTGTGGGTGTCATGGGCTCCGGGTGCCTCCCACCCCTGGTGCTGGGAACTCTGGGGGCAACCGCGGCGATGGGGCGAGGGGTCACTTGGGCCTGGGGTTCCCTGCTTATCCCATCCCCCCACCCCCTTCCCTCCCTCAACCCCCCCTTGCTCCCCTCCCTCCCCAACCCGTGTGGCTGGTGCTGGGAACCTGGGGCAGCACCGCGGAGACGCAGGCTGGGGGTCACGTGGCCCAGGGGGGTTCCCTGCTTATACCCTCCCCATCCCCCTTCCCCTCCCACTCCCCCTTCCCTCACCCCCTCCCGGGTTCACCATCCTGGTGCAAGGAGCCCCCCACCCTGAGGATCCCTGCTGAGCCCTTAGGGGCCACGCCGGCTGCAGCCGCTAACCCAGCTGGTGCTTCGCCTGCTGCCACTAACTCCGCACGGGCCCTGCTGCCCCGGGAGGGGGGTCACTGCTTGGCTGGGGGGGGGGGCTGCACCCCGGGACTGTTGTGTTTCTAACCCCGTCTGTCTTCTGTCTCTGTCCTTCAGACCAGGGCGTCGGTGACAACAAACCTACCTTGGTAAGGAGCCTTCGTGTCCGGCCGCAGGACTCCTGGGTTCTATCCCGCTGCTGGGAGGGGAGGGGAGCAGGGGGTGTAATGATGCTCGTTCTGGTGGGACCCAACTGAGAGTGCCAATTCTGGACAAACTGCTTCAAGTAGGGCAGTTACAGCCCAAGGCTGGGGTCTTTCCACCTCCAAGGCACCAAACCAGCCAGCCAGACCGAGGAGAACTAACACGGCTCCTACTCTGAAACCAGCCAGCCAGAGAGGACTTCGGTCTCATCCCACTGGCTAACCACAAGTCACACAAGCATTTCCCTCAGACACTCCAGTGTCCCAGTATCACCACCAGTGCCACTCGTTATGGGGACAAAGGGTTATGAAAACCAATACCCCAGTAAAAGAAAAAAGGTTCTCCCGATCCCAAAGGACCAAGCCCCAGACCCAGGTCAATTTACAAATCAGATCTTACCCACAAATCACGCTGTTGCCAATCCTTTAGAATCTAAAATCTAAAGGTTTATTCATAAAAGGAAGAGGATCTGGATGAGAGTTAGAATTGGTCAAATGGAATCAATGACATCCAGTAATGGCCAAGTTCTTGGTTCAGGCTTGTAGCAGCGATAGAACAAACTGCAGGTTCAAATCAAGTCTCTGGAACATCCCCAGCTGGGATGGGTCCTTCAGTCCTTTGTTCAGAGTTTCCATTCGTAGCAAAGTCCCTCCAGGGGTCAGGAGGAGGATTGAAGACAAGATGGAGGAGCTGCCACAGCGTTTTATAGTCTCTTGCCCTGTGCGCTCTGCTTTCTTTGTCCCAAGGAGAAGCCGCCCAGCACATGGCCTGGAAAAACCTCCGAGTCTGTCCCTAGGCCTGGCCCTGCCTTGCTGAGTCACCAGGTGTCTCTGCTTCTCTCAGTGGGTCGGTTGTGGAGCTGATGGGCATTAACGGGGCATCGAGCAGTCTCGGCAGCGCTGACACCAGCTTGTCTGGGGTGTCCCCCAGAAGCAGAGCCCAAGTGTGAAATACAGACAGGACAGAGCCGATACTTATAACTTTCAATCCAAAAATGATCCCTGCACCCAGACAGCATCATCATAGCCAGCAACCAGAACCTTGTCGCAGACACCTTGTTTGACCCCCTTTCTACAAGATTTGGTGCCACTGCAGGCCCTTGGTTGCAACAATGATCTATACGGTCCCAGCTTATGTCAATAACGTCACAGGGGGGGCTGGGAGCCAGGACTCCTGGGTTCTCTCTCTGGCCCTGGCAGGGGAGTGGGGTCTGGTGGGTTAGAGCAGGGGGTGCTGGGAGCCAGGACTCCTGGGTTCTCTCTCTGGTCCTGGCAGGGGAGTGGGGACTGATGGGTTAGAGGAGGAGGGACATGGGAGCCAGGACTCCTCTGTTCTCTCTCTGGCCCTGGCAGGGGAGTGGGGTTCGGTGGGTTGGAGCGGCGGGGGTTGGGAGCCAGGACTCCGGGGTTCTCTCCCTGGTGCAGTCTTTGATCTGGCTTTCCTGTCTTCCAGGGTGACGAAGACATTCAGAATTGTACACTCGCCTTCACTGCAGGAGACTATAAGCCACCGCCCAGGCCCCAACTCCCCCCCCCCCCCACGAGCAGCACCTTCTACTCGGAAATAAAAAAGAAATGTCTGTGATTTGCTTGAGACTCTCGGGAATCACTGCACCCCCACCATCCCTCCAATGCAGGGGGCAGCTCCGGTCCCACCTACCCCCCACTCACACCTACCCCCTCCCCACCATGCAGGGTCACTGCCCACTGAGCACAATGAGTGTGATACCCTCCCCGGGTGAGGGCCGTCAGGACTCCTGAGGGGAGGGGAGAGGAGGGGGATCTAGTGGTTAGAGCATGGAGCTGGGAGCCAGGACTCCTGGGTTCACCTCTGCTTTGCACAGGGGTCGGGGCTGGGGGGGTGCTGTGCAGAGGGGGATGGTCTGTGTGTGGGGCTGAAGGATAACGGCGACACCCCCACCCCAGGCCGCACTGTGGATATGAGCAGCTCAAGTGCAGGGCTGAGGCCCTACGAGGGGTCCCCACAAAGCCAGTCAGGACTTTGGGGAGCCTCCTCTCCCTCGGAGCAGACTGTCTTCAGGGCAAGAAGCTCACATGGCTTCACCTCCTGGGAGCATTCAGCATCTGCCCCTCTGTGGGCGTCCCACAGCGAGTCCGCCCCGGCGGGGTTCTGGGGCAGCCAGAGGGTCCTGCACCCCCCACTTCGCAGTCAGACGTGACTCTCAGCCAGCCAGTAAAACAGAGGTTTATTAGATGACAGGAACACGGTCTGAAACACAGCTTGTAGGTCCAGCAAACGGGATCCCTCCGCCAGGTCCATTCTGGGGCCCAGCGAGCCAGACACCCACGTCTGCCCTCACTCCCCGTCCCCAGCCAGCTCCAAACTGACTCACCCTCCAGACCCTCCTTTCCGGCCTTTGTCCCTTTCCCAGGCCAGGAGGTCATCTGCCCTCTTTTCATAGAATCATAGAATTATAGAATATCTGGGTTGGAAGGGACCTCAGGAGGTATCTAGTCCGACCCCCTGCTCAAAGCAGGACCAATTCCCAACTAAATCATCCCAGCCAGGGCTTTGTCAAGCCAGGCCTTAAAAATCTCCAAGGATGGAGATTCCACCACCTCCCTAGGTAACCCATTCCAGTGCTTCACCACCCTCCTAGTGAAATAGTGTTTCCTAATATCCAACCTAGACCTCCCCCACTGCAACTTGAGACCATTGCTCCTTGTTCTGTCATCTGCCACCACTGAGAACAGTCTATATCCATCCTCTTTGGAACCCCCCTTCAGCTAGTTGAAAGTAGCTATCAAATCCCCCCTCATTCTTCTCTTCTGGAGACTAAACAATCCCAGTTCCCTCAGCCTCCCCTCATAAGTCATGTGCTCCAGACCCCTAATCATTTTTGTTGCCCTCCTCTGGACTCTTTCCAATTTTTCCACATCCTTCTTTTAGTGTGGGGCCCAAAACTGGACACAGTATTCCAGATGAGGCCTCACCAATGTTGAATAAAGGGGAACGATCACATTCCTCGATCTGCTGGCAATGCCCCTACTTATACAGCCCAAAATGCCATTAGCCTTCTTGGCAACAAGGGCACACTGTTGACTCATATCCAGCTTCTCGTCCACTGTGACCCCTAGGTCCTTTTCTGCAGAACTGCTACCTAGCCATTTGGTCCCTAGTCTGTAGCAGTGTATGGGAGTCTTCCGTCCTAAGTGCAGGACTCTGCACTTGTCCTTGTTGAACCTCATCAGGTTTTTTTTGGCCCAATCCTCTAATTTGTCTAGGTCCCTCTGTATCCTATCCCTACCCTCTAGTGTATCTGCCACTCCTCCCAGTTTAGTGTCATCTGCAAACTTGCTGAGAGTGCAGTCCATACCATCCTCCAGATCATTAATAAAGAGATTAAACAAAACCGTCCCCAGGACCAACCCTTGGGGCACTCCGCTTGAAACCGGCTGCCAACTAGACATGGAGCCATTGATCACTACCCGTTGAGCCCGACGATCTAGCCAGCTTTCTATCCACCTTATAGTCCATTCATCCAGCCCATACTTCTTTAACTTGGCGGCAAGAATGCTGTGGGAGACTGTATCAAAAGCTTTGCTAAAGTCAAGGAATAACACATCTACTGCTTTCCCCTCATCCACAGACCCAGTTATCTCCTCATAGAAGGCAATTAGGTTAGTCAGGCACGACTTCCCCTTCGTGAATCCATGCTGACTGTTCCTGATCACTTTCCTCTCCTCTAAGTGCTTCAGAATTGATTCCTTGGGGACCTGCTCCATGATTTTTCCAGGGACTGAGGTGAGGCTGACTGGCCTGTAGTTCCCCGGATCCTCCTTCTTCC